TATATATATATATATATATATATAATTATACTAGAAAATTCGATGAACAGGAATGTTTCGGTCCATTTTACACGTATACATTCTATTCAGCATGATCACAACTGGATCGTTCACCAGCATTACGGAGATAATTAAATAAAATGTAATAGATTTTGATGAGACAAAACCGGTTTGTACTTTTAAAAAGTGAAAGGGGGATAAATTTGATGAAATAAGTTGCACAACTGCTCACGTCAAGACCTATAAATTTTAAAAAAAAAAAAACTCCCATACAGCAAGGCGCATGTATCATCTTGTCCTGTAGAAAAAAGTTTTATAAATTATTTCATGTGATTGTGCACCAAAAATAGCGGAAACAATCCCTTGCTGGTCTGCTCCCCCTCGATGAATCCGGCTGAAACAAGCAAAAACAGTGCATATAATAACCTGGGTATAAACGAGCGGTACGCAAACCCAATCATAGGAGAAAAGCTTCCGGAATGCAATACGATAGGCTTTCAGCTCCTGCATCAGATGATTGATGAGAGCCGGCGATGGAGCATTATCCCGAACTTCATCCATCACAATCTGCTGAACCCAGTGAAGCGGTGTCATCCACCGCACATTTTTGATTTCACTCTGCAACAATTCCTATCACTACCACCTTATTTGTTGGCACTGCCGGGAGAACTGCTGAACGGGGGAATCACGGGGAATCCTCGGGGGAAGATGAAGCAAACGTCTGAATCACCGGCAATTGTGAACACCAGATGATGCAAAACTGAAAACCCGTGGAATGACACACGGATGTATAGAAATGATAAAATACGCGCGCACACCCCCGCATGCAAAACACGTGAGGAATTTTGATGCGAGGAGTGAGGAGCGAGAAGAGATAGGGAAGGTTGAGAGAGGGGGGGCCGGGGGGAAGGGGAGAGGAAGGGGATAAAGCAGGAGGTGAAAATGTTGAAAAATCTCAGTTAGAATCATAATTCACGACATTTTTATCTGCCTTTGTTTTCGAATTACGAAATTAACTGGAAGTAAGGATTCCACATAATAAATCTTTAAAATCTGATAAATTATCTTTCTATTTTTCGTAAGCTTTCTTGGCTGTTAAGTTATTAAGCTGGCCCGACTTGGGCCTAGATTCGTAGACAAAAAAAAATCCAACGATATGAGGGAAAAAAAGAAATGTGAATTGATTTTGGGCTCATAACACTGGCCCTAGCCGGAGAATATGCTTCCAAGATTTTATCTTTCCAGTTTTCGAGTTCCCTGCATATGTATGCATGTACATATTTATGCGTGTATGTATGTATGTTTGTATTTATGTGTGCATGTATGTATGTATACATGTATGTACGTATGTGAGTGAGTGAGTGTGTTTATGTATGTGTGTATATATATATACATGCATAATATCCCCGAAAATGCATTTATATTTGCAAAAATGCATAAAATTTGGTACCAACACTGGTCTCGCCGAGCAGTTTCAGTTCTTTCTCTGTGAGCAGTCCACTTTCCACCAGATGATCCAGTGTCGGGAATCGGCGTCGAATTTTGCTGGATATTTCGCGACTAAACCATTTTTAGGTTCATTTTAGCAATAATTCGGCTGAATACACAGTACCATACAGAAAATACACACAGCGCAAAGGAAGCAAAGTACCGACTAGGCCAATGCAGCGGTCAAGTTGACGTATCGAGCGATGGTATGTCTACGCCGTCGACTTCGCTCGTCCTTTCCCGGAATAACTGTACACAGCAGCGACAACAGATCTTCGGGCCAGGGCAAGCACTCGAACTGTCGCCACCACCTCAATAAATTCTTCCTCAGCATGCCTTTAAGCAGCGAAAATCATTCGCAGCTCAGAAACTGATTCAGTGCAAAGCAGATTTTGTGAAGACGCATTTGTGCCACTCATATCCGCTAACTCAAATTTGTGCTGTATTGTGAATACGCGGGGAACTAAAGATCGAAGCCGGTGGAGAAAATCCCGAATGTGAAGCAATGGTGAACTAGTAGCAGCCATTTCTGATATTCTGATATCCAGTTACGTGAAGGCCACAAATGTGCTCATTTAAAATGAGCACTCTGTGGGGTGAATAAGAGAAAGCCAAAACAGAGGAGAATGGAGAAGTTGCCAGTTGCATCAATGGCGAGAAGAAACACGACGATGATAAAAAAATAGCTGGCCCAAGAGTGACTTATACGACATTAAATTGACAAGGTGAAGTAAGATTAAGAAAAAGCGGGATTTTACAGAGACTTTGGTACTAGAAGAAGTTAATTAGCGCAAATATCTCGTTAATAACAAAACTACCAACCTGCTAACCACATTCGAAACATAGAAGCCGAGCAAGAACGTGAGCGGGATCAACCTCGTGTACTCGTCGAACGCCATTGCTACTTGTTCAAATTGCCGCCTTAAAAGTTTCTATTTACATTTTTCATATAATTGGGCAATCGAAGATATTAAAAAAAGACCGAAAAAACATTCTCAGACAATTTGTGTTTCATCACATCGTTCTCCAGCTATGCAGCTGGCAGTATTTGCACCTGCATTGACCAGCGCTGCTTCGCCTGGTGGTCAGCCTGCTAGCCATCTTGACATTAAGTTTCGTCTCCCGAAGAAAGCTCCCTGGAGAGAAGCACTTCAGCAAGGTTTTAGGTAACGCTAGAAAAAATATAAGACATCAAAGATTCGCTACATCACAATAATGAGATATCGTACCGACAAGGAAGTAAAAAAACCATACTGACCGAATCGAGGAATACCTGTATTTGCCGGGATCATCTTTGTCGCCGAGCATTGGCAATATACGATTGTAGAACAAACGAATAGCATAGTAGATAAGGAGGAAAAGGAGCAACTCCTTCCAGACCAGGCGCCACAAGCTTCCTTTCCACCGAATCAGAAGGCGACAAAAATTACCCGTATAAGAAATGGTCATCCTCACAACGCGATGGAACTACCGCGATTGTCCAATGGAAGAAATCAGTGCTAAAAACACTGGGCCTTGCTGGGTCAGTAGGTGTAAATGAATTGCAACAAAATGAAAAAAAATACGTTTACGGAAATCATAATACAAATACAGGTTGCGATAAGTCAAAAACATTTATATAAATACCAGGAACAATACCAAGACCGTTCGGACTGTCAGTGTGTGGGATTCCTCTGTTAGTGATGTTACTAGGATACCCCCCTCCCACTTCCTCGGGGATACCACTTACTTTTTTTTGTAACTTACATTTATTTTTTGTATAAGTGTAAATATTTGAAAAAAAATATACTAAAGAATATCAAAAATACAAATGGCAATATCAGTGAGGATGAGACGTTTCATTTGGTGTGTAACTTGCTATTAGTGTACAGTTTGTTATTTTACTAAATGTAAACATGAATTTCTCTTGATTTTAAATGGTCAAAAAGCGGAGCACAGCTTTCCTGTGCTGCTTAGTGTACAGTCAGTAATAGGTTACAACTGACTTTTTCCATTTATCTTCTCAGAACTCCTCTCCAACAGTTTCTGTAGCAGCTTCTCATTTCATGTAGTACCTACTTTTTTTACTGTATAATAATTTATGTCATTAACCGTTGTACTGACGAGGTCCAGTCACTGACGATTCTTGGAACAACATTTATAATTTTGCTT